TGTGGTCCCAGCTACTTGGGAGGCTGAGGCAGGAGACTCGCTTGAGCCCAGGAGTTGGAGGTTGCTGTGAGCTGTGATGCCATGGCACTCTACCCAGGAGGATAGCTTGAGGCTCTGTCTCAAAAAAAAAAAAGATTAATTTGTAATGTCTTATTAATAAGATAATCAACTTACAAGATAAGAGCACGGGGCTGGGTGTAGTGGTTCACATGAAGGCAATGGATCTCCTGAGCTCAGGAGTCTCAGACCAGCCTGAGCAAGAGTGAAACCCCATCTTCTAGTAAAAATAAAGAAAAACTAGCCAGCTGTTGTGGCAGGCACCTGTAATCCCAGCTACTTTGGAGGCTGGGGCAATAGGATTGCTAGAGCCTAAGAGTCTGAGGTTGGTGTAAGCATGTTACCTTGGCATTCAACCAGGGCAAGAAAGTGAGACTCTGTCTCAAAAAAGCAAAACAAACAAACAAAATTCCCACTAAACACACACACACACACACACACACAATATCTTGGGAGCACGGGAATTTTTTGGCATTCTAGGAAATTTCCATGGGAGTCTGGATAATAGTAACCCTTCTCAAAGCCTTTCCTGGATTCTTTTCTCTAATGTACTGTCAGGAAAATTATGTAGCCTAGTCAGACTTCTATAATGACCCTATATCATTGCTTATTTCCAGTTACTAAACTTTTAGCTGAGACCAAGAACTATATGTTACTTAGGTTATATCCCCAGCACCTAGTAAAATATGTGACATATAATAGGTACTTACTAAATATTGGTCTAATAAATAAAATATTAAAATAAACTGACATATAGGGGAAAATACTATGGCTAGAATAAAAACAAACCTAAAAAGACATTTACCATTTTATTCTGAAAGATTTTTCCACTTCTTGTTTTGCTTTCAGACATATCAAGTTCAGATGTTTTACTGACTAACTGCTCAACCTAGAAAAGAAAAATAATTACACAAATTCATATAATTATATAATGAAACACATTCATAAAATAAGAAATAGAGTCCAAGAATTCAACCACATAAAATGTAGTATTTTGTTAAGTTAATGAAAACCAAAAATTTTGAATTGGTTCGCACTGTCACAAAAAGCACATAAGATAGTGAAACTGACACTATAACAGCTGACCAATAACTGAACTAAAAAAGTCCCAAATGATCAGCAGGTGCTACCTTTATGGAAGATCAGAAATTCAGCCCACTCCCATTTGAGAAAGAGGCTGAGCAGAGAAAGGCAGACAATCAATCATCAATCCTATTATTTCCAAGTTCTTATTATCTAAATTTGATATTTAGAATTTTACTCTGTATGGAAAACAAAATTAAACATGTTATACTCCAAGGCAACAAAATGCATTATATACTCCGTTTGTAAATACAAAGCAGGGTAGAATAAGTAATTGTGTAAGAGTCTATCTAGCTCTAGAATCATGAGATTCTATAAACAGTAATTACCGTTTATTACTAAACAAATCCACCAGCAATATACTCAAGGCTTGTCAAAATATAATTGTCAGATTTTGTTAATAAGCATTTTAAATAATTTATTCTAATTTTATTCTAAAAGACCTAGAATAAAAAAATCTGAGAGGGCGGTGCCTGTGGCTTAAGGAGTAGGACACCGGCCCCATATACTGGAAATGGTGGGTTCAGACCCAGCCCTGGCCAAAAACTGCAAAAAAAAAAAAAAAAAAAAAATCTGAGAAATAACTAAATAAGTATATATAAGCAATTGTCTTTTAAAAAAATAACTTGTTCTGGGAGGCTGAGGCAGGTGGATTGCCTGAGCTCATGGGTTCAAGACTAGCTTGAGTAAAAGCAAGACCCCATCTCTACTAAAATAGAAAAACTGAGGCAAGAGGATTGCTTGAGCCCAAGAATTGGAGGATGCTGTAAGCTATGAAGCCATGGCACTCTACCTAGGGCAACAGCTTGAGACTATGTCTCAAAAAAAAAAACAAAACAAACTTGTGAGATGGAAATATCAAGTTCATACCTGGGAATGAGAAATTGAAAGATCTGGACTTTCCTTAGGCCTCATAATTTCATCTTCCTCACAAAATGAACTTGGTTCTGTTAAAAAAAAAAAAAAGAAAAGAAAGTTAAAATGGCATATAATTGAATTGGAAATGAGTTAATCTAAATTTTCATTAACTTTTTACCTCCAAATTCAGAAGATCCAGGGTTTTTCTTCCGATCTTCCAGTTTAGTTTCAATGTCAAAATCATCCTTACATGTGAAAGAAAAAAAATTGACACATTTCAAAAAGAAATTTAAAACAATTAGGCAGAAGAATTTATGAACAATTTTTTTTTTTTTTTTTTTTTTTTTTAGAGATGGGGTCTCACTCTGTCACCCAGGCTGCAGTGCCATGGCTCAATCATAGCTCATCAACCTTGAACTCCTGAACTTAAGTAATCCTTCCACCTCCACCTCCCTAGTAGCTAGAATGATAGGATACTAGGGAGGCTGGCTAATTTTTAATTTTTTTTGTACACACAGAGTCTTGCTATGTTGCCCAAGTTGGTCTTAAACTTCTGGCCTCAAGCAATCCTACTACCTTGGTCTGGCAAAGTGCGGGGATTATAGATATGAGCCACCATGCCCAGCGAACAAATTCATTTTATATGAAGGCTTAATATAATATAAAACTGCAACTACCTTATGCTTGCTAGAAATAAAAGTGGTCCTAGAATTACAATTACATGGCAATTTATTTATCCAAAGTATAAAATACTATTTTTCTTTACTTTGCAGCCTTGCTTTAAGGATAAATGATAAAATATACAACTTTTCTACAATGTATGATGATTCTAAGATTTTACTACTGTTTGCATATATTGAATTAGACATGTTCACACTACAACCTACCATTTCTATAGCTCTGGAATTTCTGTACAAATGTTAGCATATGCTCTAAATATACCCCAACCATCTTCAGGGAGTTAATAAAGGTTAAACTCAGTCATGGTATGGCAGAAATTACAACAGGTTTAAAGTCTGCATTATAATTACTGTTCCTGTTGAGATACATGTGAAAAAGATTCAAATATTTTGAAGAATGCTGCAAAAATTCCAGCCATCTTTATTTATAAAACAAGATTAGGATTTAGGTTTTGGGGGAAAGTTTTCTTCTTTGAATTGCTTAAAAATTGATTGAATATTCTATTTGTAAAGCTATAGCTACAGAACCCAATTCAGAATAGTGAGCTTCTGTCTATAACTACTATGGTCTCAAATTAGTATAATATAAACTGAGGCAAAAGAAAACGAGAGGTAAGATTAAAGGATATAATGTTAACACTTAAAAAAATTAAAGCAATAATGACTTCCACATTTGCTGGGAGTAAAGCAACAGAAAAATTTCCTTTGTATTTCTATTCATCCATTCACTCAATTAATGCTGAGAATCCTATGTGCTAGGCATAGGAAGACTAAAAAGATAAATAAGACACTTTTCCTGCATTCCAGGAGCACCCAGGCTGATTCAGGACAAGAACTTTCCAGGTCCTGAAGAAATTCAAGTATAGGCTACTTGAACACTTTGTAAGATGCTATAGAAAGGATTCCATCCTTAGTTGGAGGGTTGGACTAGTTCAGTGGTTTTCAAATTATGCCCTAGGGCCCTATGGGGTTCCTCAGAGTCCACTTCGAGGAGTAGCAGATGAGATAATGAGAAGATGGGCCTCCAGGACAATTATACATGCTTCAATTAGGGTAGTTGTGCTTTTAAATTCTGAGTATAACATTGTTTGAACCAAGGTAAAAAGTTGCGTTTTTTTTTTGGTTTTGTTTTGTTTTTTAGACAGAGTCTCATTATCTCACCGTCCGTAGAGTGCCGTAGCATCACAGCTTACAGCAGCCTCTAACTCTCGGGCTAAGCAATTCTCTTGCCTCAGTCTCCCAAGTAGCTGGGACTATAGGTGCCTGCCACAACACCCGGCTGTTTTTTTTTTTTGGTTGTAGTTGTCATTGTTTGGCAGGCCTGGGCTGGATTCAAACCTGCCAGCTCTGGTGTAATGTGGCTGGCACCCTAGCAGACGAGCTCAGACGCCGAGATATCCAAGGGAAAAAGTTTTAAAACCACAGGTCTAGCCCTCACTCTTCTTTAAGGTACCTTCCAACCTGAGTGTTTATGATTATAATATAGTATTTACAATAATGTTAATGGGAGCTATGAGTCTCCATAACTGAGCCAAATGTTTGTTACGATTATCCTTTATGTAACTTTTAAAATAAAACTCATACTTACATAATGCTCTTGTTTATCTCGCATATCATCTTTGTCCATCAGGATTTTTTTAAGTGGTGTTTTTAAGTGTTTTGGTGATAGTATAGCTGAGTCAATATTTTCCATTCGTTCCCTTTCAGTGGTCACTTTTACTTTGAAGGTGTGAAAAGGTGTTGGGACTTCTCCCACATTTAAGTACATAGGCTCCCCTTCAAATATTACTCCTTCACAGTCACCATCCTTAAAACCGGGAGGCTGATAATTGGGGGGTGTGACTGCAAAAAAGTAAGTATAAACTGTGCTATTCATGAAATTGAGAAAAATATTATTATTATTATTATTTGAGCAGAGCCTCAAGCTATCCCCCTGGGTAGAGTGCCGTGGCATCACAGCTCACAGCAACCTCCAACTCCAGGGCTCAAGCAAGTCTCCTGCCTCAGCCTCCCTAGTAGCTGGGACCACAGGCACCCGCCACAGTGCCCAGCTATTTTTTGGTTGCAGCCGTCATTATTGTTTTGGTAGGTCTGGGCTGGATTCAAACCCGCCACCTTAGGTATATGTGGCTGGTGCCTTCGCCACTTGAGCCACAGGCACTAAGCCGTGAAAAATATTATTATTATAAAACACACATGGATTAAAGATATTACCCTCCTACTATTTCCAAGTCCCCATTTTATTCTCTAAAGGTAATTTTTTTTTTTGAGACAGAGTGTCACTATGTTGCCCTCAATAGAGTACTGTGACATCACAGCTCACAGCAACATCAAATTCTTGGGCTTAAGCGATTCGCTCACCTCAGCCTCCCAAGTAGCTGGGGCTACAGGCGCCCGCCACAATGCCCAGCTATTTTTTTTTTTTTTGGTTGTAGTTGTCATTGTTGTTTGGCAGGCCCAGGCCAGGTTCAAACCTGCCAGCCCCAAACTATGTGGCTGGCGCCCTAGCTGCTGAGCTATAGGAGCCGAGCCTCTAAACTTAATTTTTGTTTTCTTTGCTTTATTGGCTATGTGAATTTGAGTACGTTATTCATCATCCCTGATCTGGTTTTCTCACTTGCCAAATGGTGAAAAAACAGTACCTAACTTCAGAGGGTTACTGTGGGTATTAAATGAATCAAACCTAAATCCTATGACCGCTGAAAACAGAACTGGCATAAAGTGAGTATTCAAAAAAATTTAGTTGTCATTGTATTGCTTTATAATCTTTTAGAAGACATTATACAAGTAATAAAAAATAAAATATTTTGTATTTACATAGGTCTCAGGAAAATATACATACATTTCCTTAAAAAACACAAATGATATCATACTGTTCCATATCTAGCTGTTTTTAATTTAATAGTATCTCTTGGATAATTTTTAGTATCTTCTTTTTAATAGCTTGCATGGTATTCTATTATATAGATGCACCATAATTTATTTACTCAATCTCCAATGAAGGACACTCAAGTTGTTGCTCATTTGTTCCTATTTTAGCCAATGTTATAAACAATAATAACACGATACTTTATAATCCTTATAAACCCTGCATATTTGTGAAATATTTCCTGAAGATATTTTTCTAGCTATGAAATTTCTGCACTAAAGAGAATGTGAATTTAAAATTTTGATCCTGCCAAACTGTCCTCTAAAAATATCATACAAAGTGCCTGCTACCCCACACCTTTGCCAATAATGGATTTACAAATTTTACCAATCTGTTAAGCGAAAACTGATACCTCACTATTTTCACTTTTTTATGAGTGAGGTTACATTCCACATGGATATACTAATTGGGATAATTGTTTCAACAATAATAAAACATTTAGGTACAACTGAAACACAATATACTGAAATAGTACCTTCGTCGTAGTAAAAAAGTTTCATGGTCAAACAAACATCATTAGGTAAAGGTCCCAGATTTTGCATTAGAATATAAATCTTGCGAATGAGGAGAATACTAGCTTTCTTGGTGTCAGCAGATGACAAGCTAGATTCGTTGCTCTGGTTTTTACTAGAAGAGAATCGCACATTAATTTCTTTTATAAAAACACTGGTAGCTCCTGATACAATAACTTCACTCTTTCTTTCTTTCTTTTCTTTTGGAGATAGAATCTCACTCTGTAGCCTAGGTTGGCATGCCATGGCCTCAGCCTAGCACACAGCAACTTCAAACTTTTGTGCTTAAGCAATCCTCCCTCGGTCTCCCAGAATGCTAGGATTATAGACTTGAGCCTGTACCTGGCTTGTTAACTCCACATTTTAACAACTTGATATTCTTATTCCTATTATAGCATCATTATAAAAATTTTAGTATCACTACATTATTATTACAAACCAATAACTTGATTTTACATAAATTAATAGGCATTTTATATAAGGTATTTATAGGAAACAAGTAGTGGGTTTTAATTATATTCCTTATCATTCAAGTTCTCTTTCCACAATTAAAATAGTATATAATTAGTATATAATTAGCTCCTGGCTTGCAGCTACTCTAAGTCATCACTCCATTTTGCACAGCCACATCTTGCTAGCTGCATAGCACCAGTATGAATGAGTGGTAATCTGTAATACAAACAAAACTACAGAATAATACCTTGAGAAGTCCATGACTGGTCCATTATTGGTGTATTTGAATTTGAATTGATAACATTCTGAAATTGTCTTAAAGAGAAAACACTACAATTATGTATCTGAAATATAGTCCTAGCTGCCAAATAGCTACATACTGCTCTTGTATGACTCTTAATATTTAGTCAATAATTTTTTCTGCCATGTTAAACACTGTTGATCCACTGAAGATTTAAAGTTCCTACAGTCAATTCTCATAGCTAGGATTTGGGGCTTCAGTCTTGGAGAGATACTTATTATTCCTCCATTTATTGCAATTTATGTTATACATGAGGGCTATCTAGAAAGTATCCAGTCATGTAATATGAAAAATAGAGACAAGCATGGCTGGATACTTTCCAGACAGCCCTCACATACCAGATGGAAGAATTCAGCAGGCAAGTAAGAGGAGCACCATACCTCAGCGGAGTAACTAACAAGGCTTAAATCTTTGCTATACTATAATCACTGGCGAGCCATTTTAGCCTTTAAAGTCTCAGTTTCTCCAGCTAAAAGAATAGGATGAAGACTGTACCTGTATCAGTGATGGTTGTGAATATTTACAAATAGGATAATTTATACAGAACACTTTATAAACTGACATACAGTAAACATACAATATTATTAGTGCATCAGTAAGGTTGCTGATTTACCAATAGAAAAATATGCAATTATAAAACATGAAAATAAATATTTTCTAATCAATCAGTTCATTTCTGAACAATTAATTCACATCCTTTGCTCAAATGATCTGCTTTGTCACCATGTACACATATTCAACATTAAACGCAGCCATGAGCATCAAAGAAAAGACACATTGTCAGTCACCTTGAAGCTCAAATACTTTTATTACTTTCTTTACATTTCAGTGTTTACAAAAGAAAGGGGATCAGTGCTCTTTCTCTTTTTAAGATCTATTTAAGTCTGCTACTCCGTGACTAAGTAAAACACTATATTTGTTTTACTGTAACGTAAAATATAATGTAAAATATTATGTCATAACATTATATTGTAGTGTAGCAGTTAAACACCCATGGCTAGGTTGTGAACTAGCCTTCCTAGGCCCCAAACCTGGTATTGTCACTTCTGTCACTGTGACCTTACACAAGAAACCTTGTACCTAGATTTCCTAATCTGTGAAATGGAGATGATAATAGCAGTTACCTCCTGAAGGCTGTGATGAGTAAATGAGATAATGCACATAAAGCCCTAAAGAACAGTGCCTAATAAAAAGTAAGTACTCAATAGATCTTTCCCCTTTTTTTCTTGTCTTCTAATTTTCCCTTCCATTTCTTGTCCTCCCTTCTCTCCTTTAATTATCAGAATAACAAGTGGGTGTGACTGGTTGGGATGAATATTCAAAGTTTAAAGATGAGTTTCTTTTTTTTCTTTTTTTTGGCCAGGGCCGGGTTTGAACCCACCACCTCCGATATATGGGGCTGGCGCCCTACTCCTTTGAGCCACAGGCACCGCCCAAGATGAGTTTCTTAATTTGCTCAAACTCAAGCCCTTTCATAATTCTAGATAAAGAATATTATAAAGAACCAGAAGTCAGATTTATTTCTAATAGTTTATAAGCTTTGTGGCCTAGGATCAGTCACATAATCTCTCTTGCAGTAAATGTATTAATCTGTTTAAAGATAACAATACAAGGCCTGCTGTACCTCAGAAGAGTTTTATGAGGTTCAAATGTGAAAATGTATATGAACATGCATTGATTAAAGCATGATTAAAAGTATAAGACATGTAGTATTGTAGTTTAATGTTATTTTTAGATATTATAGTCATTATGTTTTTTTACTAACTCAAGCACACTTACCTGAGGCTCTTCTGGATTGGTGTATACCTATTTAAAAATAATTTACAATTGCATTATCTAATGCTAGGTATTCAAAAACAACTAATTGGATGTTAGGTTAAACTATTAAGCAGACTCAGCAAAATAAAACAAAACATCCCACCCTCAATATTACTCTATTACTATTTTTTATTCAATAAATCAGTTGTTTAAATAGTTTTACATAATCAACATCATAGTTTTGGTGTCATTTAATTAAGTAAGGCAGAATTTGACAGTCTTTTAAAAAAGAACATATAATTTAAAAATACTTACAGCTAGAACAATCATCCTTAGCTGAAATACAACAAAGAACAAAAATCTTACTCATGTTTTATAAAATAGTTTTTCATGATGGATCATAAGAATCTCTGTCCTATTTTAACATATATTCCTTTTTAAAAATATTTATAGATATATTTTAATTATAAACAAGGCAGGCTTATAATTACATTGTACATGGGCAAGTGGAAATTGTGAACATTTTAAACTGATAGTTTGTTTTTTTTTGAGACAGAGTCTCATTTTGTCACCCTCAGTAGAATGCCATGGTGTCATAGCTCACAGCAACCTCAAATTCCTGGGCTCAAGTAATTCTCCTGCCTCAGCCACTGGAGTAGCTGGGACTATAGGTGCCCACAACCACACCTGGCTATTTTTAGAGACAGGGTCTCGCTCTTGGTCAGGCTGGTCTCGAACTCCTGAACTCGAGCAATCCACTGCCTCAGCCTCCCAGACTGGTAGGATTATAGGCATGAGCCACCGCACCTGGCCAATATAGGTATATTGCAAAATAACACAATATATGTGTTGTATGGAGAACAAAGAGAACCGATTTTGAAAAGAGAACAGGTAGAAAACTCAGGATCCTCCACCTTTAATAAAGAGAAGAGGCACTGGAGACCATAGCAAAAGGAAATCACAGGAAATAATTCACTCAAGTGATCTGCCAAAAATCTAAGAGTCATCCTGAATTCTGATCTTTTCCTTATTTTCCACAACCATCAATAAATCCAATCAATTCTATTGCCTAATATATCCTGGATTTCCTCTTTGCTATCATGGTCTAGGCCATCATCATTTCTCACTAGTACTACAGTAGTATCCTAAGTGTTATTCACTTTACTCCTAATCTTGTTCTCCTTCTATAGTAAATTCTCTAGATAGCAGGCAAAATGATTAAAACAAAATTTGAATGTTAATCGAATGATGTTACATTTCTACTTAAAACCTTCAAATGAGTTTTCTTTTCATCTAAAATAAAATCCAAACTCCTTGCTTACACATCACTGAATGCTCTGGCTCTGCCTGTCTCCCAGGCAAGCCATTCTCCCCCAACATACAAGTGCACTCCAGTCATACTGGCTTTCTTTTTATTCCTGGAACTTTCCAAACTCCCCTCAAACTCTTAGCATTTGCTGCTCTGCCAGGAATAGTCTCTCCCCAGATCAATGCCCAGTTGGTTTCTTTTCATTCAGGTCTCAGCTTAAACATCGCCTCCTCAGAGAAACCCCTCTGACAATCCCTACCTCTATATTTACTATAGACTTTCATTAAAAATTTTAATGTCACTTAAAACTGACTTACTTGTTTTATTCCCTACTCGCTTTACTACCGTAGAAGGAACTCTTTTTGTTTTGTTGACCACTGTTAACTTACCCATCTCCTACCTAGAATATGTCTTTAACACACAACTCAATATTTGCTATGCCTTAATGAGGAAGGTTAAGAACCATAGATAAAAATCATCTTCACAACTTTGCCTAGAGCTGTACTTCCTTATACATGTTGATATGCATTTATGTTAAGAATACAAAAAGGCTCATAAACCTTAATTTCACTAGTTCAGAATGTATTAGAATTTAACCTACATTATATGGAAATTTCTTTTTTGAATCCTAATTAAAAAATAATTTATTAAATTATTAGTATAAACAAGATTGTAGAAGGCATGTAAAACTAATAAATGAAGTTTTGGGGTTTTTCTTTTGTTGGTCTTTTTTTTTGAGACAGAGTCTCACTGTGTCACCCTCAAAGAGAGCTGTGGCATCACAGCTCACAGCAACCTCCAACTCTTAGGCTTTAGCCATTCTCTTGCCTCAGCCTCCCAAGTAGCTGGGACTATAGGTGCCTGCCACAATGCCCAGCTATTTTTTGGTTGTAGTTGTCATTGTTTTTTGGCAGGCCTGGGCTGGGTTTGAACCCACCAGCTCCGGTGTATGTGGCTGGCGCCCTAACCACTGTGCACAGGCACCAAGCCTAAATGAAGTATTTTTAAAAACTTTTTAATTCGGGCAGTGCCTGTGGCTCAAAGGAGTAGGGTGCTGGCCTCATATACCAGAGGTGGTGGGGTTCAAACCCAGCTCCAGCCAAAAACTGCCAAAAAAAAAAAACTTTTTTAATTCATTATTTGTTGGTAAGTTAAGTGTTATTAATAAAAACAAGTAATTTAACCAAAACTAGCTTAGCACAATTTGTATAGTATTAATCCCATTAGCTTTAATTATAAAGATTAGTCTTTAAAATAAATAAATGGTCAGACTTTTCAGTAACTCAGATTGGCCTACTCTCAAGTTAGTATAATGTTTTATTACATGATAATTCCAGTTAGATTTGTAGAATATAAACTATAAAAAGGGATAAAGAGATATTGTAAGACTTACATATTTTTTCTGTAAAGCATCATAGCATCCTAGCATCCTAAAAAAAAAAATCAAGGATTCATTTTTAGACTAAATGCATTTGCAGAAAATAGTTCTTTTCATAATCTTCATATTATCTCATTACTAAATAATACAAAATGTCTTATTAAAGCTCTCTTCTTATAAACTAGATTAAACAAAATAAAACGAAACAATGTGGCAGAAATAAAAGATAATGATAGGGTATAAATGGGAAAATATAAAATACTTGACAGCTATTTATGGGGAACAATAACAAAATAAACAAGCCTGATTACATGGGACATAAAATAAAAATTTTAATGCAAAATTTTAAAGACCTAGGCTCAGTGCCTATAATTCAGCCACAAACACCGGAGCTGTCTGGTTCGAACCCAGCCTGGGCCTGCCAAACAACAATGACAACTACAACAAAAAAATAGCAGGCATTATGGCAAGCAACTATAGTCCCAGCTACTTGAGAGGCTGAGGCAAGAGAATCACTTAAGCCCAAGAGGCTGAGGTTGCTGTGAGCTGTGATGCCACAGTACTCTACCCAGGGTGAAAAAGTGAGACTCTGTCTCAAAAAAAACAACAACAAAAAAACCTCAAAAAAACACAAAAATTTAAAGACCTACAAAAATGCCAACTAGCATTAAAGAGTGACTCACTAAAATTTAGTTAATCACTGAAAGGTATCAAAAGTACCAAACAGGCTCGGCGCCTGTGGCTCAAGTGGCTAAGGTGCCAGCCACATACACCTAAGGTGGCAGGTTCGAATCCAGCCCAGACCCGTCAAACAACAATGATGGCT